TTCTTCAACCCAAAATCCCGTGGTTTAGGTAAAATTTTACGGGGTCTTATAGTTGAGGGATTTGACTGAGAGTTGACTTTGGTGATATCGGGCTCGAATTGTGGTTTCGTATTTGGATTAGCTCCGTTATATCATTTAGGACTTGCATGCAAAATTTGACGTTATTCCGAGTTGGTTTGATGTGTTTCGGCACAAGTTTTGGGAGTTGGAAGACTTGAAAATTCATGAGTTCGATTTGTGGTGCGATTCGTAATTTTGATGTTGTTTGACATGATTAGAGGCCACGAGTAGGTCAGGGTTGTGTTATGGAACTTGTTGGTATGCAATTGGACGGGGTCCCGGGGGGCGGGTGTGTTTCAGATGAGTTTCGGATGATTTTCATGCTTGTGATAAGGTCTAGTTCTGGTGCTTCGCACCTGCGAAATTTTAGAGCGCAGGTGCGGCTCCGCTTCTGCATGAGCCTGGTCACTTCTGCGATCATAGTGGCCTGGGAGGGAGCTCTCTTCTGCGGAGGTTGGCACGAAGGTGCGAAGGCCGCTTTTGCGGTCCAGCGATCGCACATGCGAAGTGGTTCGCTTTTGTGCTCCTTTTGGCACTTCTGCGATGTCGCTGGTGCGACTGTATTTTTCGCAGATGCGGGCCTAGGCCTGGTAAGTTGAATTTGCAGATGCGAATATTTTCTCACAAATGCGAGGCCGCAAGTGCGCCTTTTCTGTTCGCAAATGCGTATAGCGCTGGGCAGAACACTTATATGTCGAGGGTTTGATTTTCTTAATATATTTTGAGTTGTACACCTCGGTTTTGAGAGAATTTTCCTGGGTTTTTCAAGTAACTCATTGGGGTAAGTGTTTTCTACCCGAATCTTATTATATTTTATGAATATATTGCTATTTTTATCATTTAATTAGTAAATTAAGTTAGAAAATTGGGGAAAATTTGTAAAATCTTTCAAATTGTAAAATGATTAGTTGAAGGACGAATTGATGTCGGAAATTGATAATTTTGGTATGGTTGAACTAGTATCGATATAGGTGTTCGGGTTTTGTAATTTTTATCGGGTTCCAAGGTGCGTGCCCGAGGTTTGACTTTTGGGTTGACTTTTATTTCTTGTTAAAGATTGAAGCTTTATTATCTGGAATTGTTTCTTATGAGTTTTATTTATGATTTGAAGTTATTTTGGCTAGATTTGAGCCGTCCAGAGGTTATTTCACTCGAGAAGTTCATTTTAGAGTAAGAGTCTAGCTTCTTCGAGGTAAGTATCTTGTCTAGCTTTGTGTGGGGGAACTACCCCTTAATATCTGAGTCTACTAATTGTGTCATGTGAAGCCCGTGTACGCGAGGTGATGAGTACGTGCTCGGGCTTAGTTGTGTAAATTTGACAGTTTAGGACTCTTAGGTTCTTATTTTCATTAGATATGAAGTTGTTTTGTTATGTTAAACCCCTCATTTACTAGTTTCACCTCTACGTGTCTTAATTGGGATTAATTGCTTCATGTTCCACTCTTATTGCCTATTTGACTCTTATGTGCCTTAACTGAAGTTGTTGCCTCTTTTATTGCCATCCTATCATTCCCTAATTATTTATCCTTAACTGAAATTATTATTATCCTTCCCTAATTGTTTATCCTTGACTGAAGTTATTATTATCCTTTCCGTAAGTTGCTTATCCTTAATTAAATATGTTGTATCTCTTTCATAATTAATCAACCCTAAATGAAGTTTAGTTATCTGTTATCATAGTTGACTCATCCTTAATTGGAATTATTAACTCATCTTACCTCCCTTGTTGTTGAATTGTACTTTTGTGGAATCACTGTTACATATTATTTCTTCCTTATTGAGCTATTCTCGTTGAGACTAGTATCCTATGTTGTGTCTTTCTTTGTGAGCTCGTTTTACCCTTGTTTTGTGTTCCAAAGTTCTTGAGTTGATTTACTTGTCGTATTCTCATGTCATTGTTGTTGTTGTTGTTGTTGTTGTTGTTGTTGTACTCAGTGTTGTGAGCCGAGGGCTATGCGCGGTTGTGGTATTGAAATTATTTCGAGGAAATGTTATGGAATATGGGCACGTGTTGTGAAGGTCATTTTATGGTGTGTCATGTTTTTGGCACGTGATATTATTGGGAGGATTTATTCGGGTGTTTGCATGAGGTTCTGTTGCACATGCAACGTGACAATGTGGGCTATATCTGTATTTTTGCGCATGTGACGAGACAAGGTGGGAACATTACTATGCACGTGCGGCGAGACAAGGCGGGCATTCTCTTTATTATTGCGCACGTGGCGAGACAAAGTGGGCTATGTTAGGGAATAATTTGTGATGACTTGTGATGGCCTGAGGACATTATTGTTGTTGATATTTGTGTAGTGGCATGCCTAACTTGTGTGAGTTTTACCTTGTGCAAATTGTGGGGATCGTTTCTTATGTGTCTTTCATTTTCTCTACTCTTATTCGTTGGCCCGAACTATGATAGAATACTTGCACAAGCATACACGTAATTTATCACCTTATAGGTTTAAGAAGACGAACACTGATGTTACTAACCATCTATGTATACTCCGTTTACTTATCTTCTATGTGAGAATTGTTCTATTGGCATGTGAGTCGTCCGTGCAGTTATCAGTTGTAATAAGGGCATAAGATACTAAGTGATTAGGGTCCACGAATTGGGACCTGTGAATTGTGAGTTTTAAGGTTTGGTACCGCGTGGTAATTATTGGATAAATTTTGGTATGAGAGCGGTTATTCTTATTGAGTTGCTACTTGTTTTTCTCTTATTTTGTTTCACCGGATTTAAACTGTGTCCAATTGCTAATTGTTGCTTCTAGTTCCTCCAGCAAACATCGTATTAATGTTGTTATCATGCCTATCTTTATAGAGATATCGTACCCTGCTATTTCTGCACTTATATTTGTCTAGGTTATTTAGTCTAGTAGGTGTCTTGATTGTCCCTCGTCATTACTCTACCGAGGTTAGTTTTGATACTTACTGGGTACAGTTGTGGTGTACTCATACTATATTTCTGCACATTTTGTGCAAATCCAGGTATTTCGGAGTTGGCCGATCACTAACTAGCTGTACGGATCTTACTGTAGAGACTCAAGGTAAACCTGTTGCCGCTTTTGCAGGCCTCAGAGCCACCTTATGATATTGTACTTGCACTGTTTTATCACTATTTCGAAACAGTTGTATTTGTAGGTTTTCTAGCAAACTCAGTAGATCTTTTGACTTGTACTACCGATTTTGGGATTGTAAGTTTTGTATAGAGGTTTCTATTTCATATTTGTCAGTCGCTGGTTAAATATTGCTATTAATTCAGTAAATGTTAGGCTTACCTAGTCCCTAGACTAGGTGTCATCACGACATCCTACAGAGAAAATTTGGATCGTGACAATTAGTCTTTTAGTTTGTTTGGCCAAGCTTTTCCAACGCCAAAATTATTATTTTTTTCCAAAGAAAGTGTTTTTAAAAAAAAAAGTTGAAATGTTTGACCAAATTTTTAAAAGAAAAAAGTGCTTTTGAGTATAAGCAGAAGCAGTTTTAGAGAAGCAAAGAAAAATGTAGCTTTTCTCCAAATCACTTTTTTGAAAAGCACTTTTGAGAAAAATACATTTAAAAGCAGTTTTAAAAAGCTTGGCCAAACACTAATTGTTGCTCAGAAGTGCTTTTCAAATTAATTAGCCAAACACACTTCTCACTAAAAGTACTTTTGAACTGTAAACTGATTTTTGCAGCTCGGCCAAACATGCTAAAATTTATCTGGCTGAGCCAAGTTATGGTGAGTTGGGGTTTCACTTCTGCATTTGAAAATCTGGTGTTTTGGTATAATTATTCAATGGAACGCGATAATTTCCCCTGTTAATAATGATAAATTTCATGTCACAATATACAGCTGTGATCCGAGAGCAAGCTAAGCAAAATATTAATTTCATAAACTAAAGTGCACCCTAAACTTGGGGTTTTGGTAATAATGCAAAATAATTAGGACAAACTACTCTAGGAGGAATTCAACAAAGATGAGAAGCTTCTTTTGGAAAAGGGAAAAAGTTCAAATTTATCTCTAAACCTTAGCGAAATTAGTCATCTATTAAGAGCCCGTTTGGACATAAGAAATTTTTCACTTTTTTCCAACAAAAATTCACTTTTTTCGAAATTAGCGCTTCTTCATAAAATTTTCAATTTTCACTTGAAAATGCATTTTGAAAATTTTAGAAAATTTAAAAACCCCCAAAAAGATGTTTTTTAAAATTTCCCCTCAAATCACTCACAAAACTTCAAAAATAACCCAAAATTATATTTATGTCCAAACACAACTCTATTAGCTAGCGTTTGGCCATAGATTCCCAAATTTATTCTGAAGATGAAAATGTGTTTGGACATTTGTTTTGGGTGAAATTTGATTTGGAAAAACATGAAACATGACTTATACTCATAAGTTCTAAAAACTATCACAAATACCCAACAATACCATTATCAATAACATTCATTATATTATCGCAAACCATAGTCATGAACATAAATAAATTTGATACAAGATTATCATTTTTATAATGAACTACATGATACACTATCACATGGCCGAGAAGACGAAGTAACATCGTTACAAAATAATAAATAGTGGGCTCTTTTATAAAATACAAAAGTTTGGAGCAGTTTTTAAAAAATATAATAGTGATATTTGGGCACAAAACCAGCTATTGAGCAGGTTTTGGGATTTGGCTAAAATGTAGGCAAAATCTATGGCCAAACATGTGTTTGCCAAATAAAACCCAAGTTTATTTTGGCAAAATCTATGGCCAAACAGGTCCTAAATTTCAAATATTAGTTTCACTTGAATTTTTTTTCCCGCTATTTTGAAATTTTATAATTCTTATGTCCAAACGCCCACTAAGAGTTGGTTTGAAAATGACCTTGGTGTTACAAAATTATCATAATGAAGGCATCTATCTTATCCGTAAAGATATCAAATTGTCTAGTTGATAACAACAATAACAACATATCTGATATATTTTCACAACTGGAATACGAGGAGGGTACTAAGTATGAGAAAAGAAGGAGAAGAAAAGTAGAGAAAAAGTAGTATGTATGCGCACCTTAATCGTAACACAACTTTTGTTAGTTGTGTTGACCTATACCATAAAATTCTCTCTGTCATGTACTTTTGGTCATTGTTTAAGGCAGCACAGATCTAGATACACTGGTCAAGTCTTCTTCATTAGTCTCGGTTCTTATGAACTATATCGGGAATAAGCTCTTTTTTTTTTTTTTTTAATTTTATCAAAAATAAAGTAAACATATTACTTTCCCTCCTTTTACATTGTTAGGTTCAGGCGCTGGATTTTGTGTCTTGGGCGTTTGAGCACTTCAATCACTGTACAAAGGTGTTTGATATTGGGTTTCCTTCCACCAATATGAAAGTAAGTTGTAGCAGTGTCTTTCTTTTCTTCATTTTACACTATACAAACAAGCTAAACATAAATTATTTTGTAAATATAACTCTAACTTCGTAAGGTAGGATAAGTAAGAATTTACCTAAATAGCCGCTCACCCGACCACGTAAACTAAAAATAACTGATACAGGTATAATATATGCATAATTTATTTATGTATTATATGTATATAATTAATGTATAATGTATGTATATGGCTAAAAAAAATAAATAAGGAATATGACAAACTATATGTGTAAAGATCTCGAGGATAAGGTCTGCATATACCTACCTCCCCATACCCCACATTTGGACTTCCACTCGTTTTTTTTTTTTGGTTGTTGTTGTTGTATATAAATGAACTGTTGAATCTCCCTAACTGTGCTCACTCATTGTACAAGTTGCATGTTTCTGAATTCTCTTGTTAGAATTTCTGGCTGCGCCACTATGTAATACTTTACTCTGATGGAAAGTAGAAAAGAAATGAGAAAACCAAAAGTTTCGGATATCTTGTTCTCTTTTGTGTGATTCTTGAGAAATGCACTTTTCTTATGGGGTGATAGGTTGGAGATACAAGACTGGCTCTTGCTTCTTGAAGCTTTTACTCCGATCACCTCTGCTGAAGTTACCAAGGTCAATATCTTTCTTTACCAATTTATTATGTTTTGCTCGTAGCTTTTAGTACCTAAGATGTTTCATTTTATAAGGTAAACTATAAGTGTTATTAATAAGAGGCATCCATAGGATGCAAAGTACAAAAGTATTGATGAGTGAGAGGATGTTTGGTTGACTATAAGCAGGTCAAATTGGCTCACAAGCACCTTTTCGTGTATCTACGGGTTTGGTAAACATCCAAAGTGCTTATAAGTTTAAATCAACAAAAAAGTTATAAGTTGGTCACCCCCACCTTACATGTTCCAAATTCCTCTGGCCACTGTATAGGGTAGGAACCATAATTACCAAAGTTCTTGAAAGAGTCCAAAGGTTGAGACAAGACACTTCTTTGACCATATTTTAGCTGCAGCTGCACACAGTTGTCGCAAATAGATTATAATGGAGATTTTCACCCCTGATTTGCTCTTGGAAATTGGAAAACAGATAATTGCAAAGGTATCCCAACTTTGTTTGGTGTATACTTGTAACATCTAGGCCCTTGATGCACTTGTAAAGATTAAAAAAAATGGGTAAAAGTTTAAATTGTAAATGGTGGAATCTTTGCCGTTTTAAGGGTAATGCCGTAATGGAATCAGTAAACTGCATGAAATATTGTAGTGTCATGCTCCGAAAATATTGATTTTGTTACTTGCAGGATTCATTACGAACAACAATTCAAGGAAACTAAAAAGGTGGAAAGTAGATGGCCAGGGAGTGTCAGAACATGACGGAGCTTGTAGATAGTTGGACAATTAAGCAATTGTATGATGCTGCAGAGCATCTAGCAGATGTAAAGTTTTTTCTCGAGAAACTGGAGCAAGTTCAGCCTGAGAATGCGATATCTGCACAACTGGGGCCACTATTTGTAGAAGCTTATGATGGATCTTCTGAGATATGGTCTCACATGGATCAATGCCAGTGGACTTGCACCATCAGAATGATGATTTCAAAGGTGCTTAAAATAATTAAACTGGAGAATATTGCTGAGCGAGTCAAACCTGCAAAGCCATCCACATCAACTAGCCCAATGATTTTAGAGGTGCTGAAAATAACTAAACCTGAGAATATTGCTAAGCGAATCAAAGCTTCAAAGCCGTCAAGTTCACCTGGCCTAATCACTATGGAGATGGTGGGTTTTATCGAAGTTTTGCTTGATACTGCTCATGATAAACTGTGGTCCTTTAGTTTAGTGCATGCCTCTCGCTTGTATGTGCTTAAAAGGAAGCTGAGGTATCTACAAGTCTTCTTCACGTTAACGACGAGGTGGTGCATTGAGCATGAGAATATGAAGGATCTCTTCACCCATGTTGAGGATGTAGCTTACACTGCAACACACATGTGTTTCTTAGGGGTGGGCAAAACTATGGATCGCGAGTTCTCTGAATTGCTGGAAAAGATAAGTCCTTTTAAGCCTAAATTGAGGCAGATTTATAAGAGCCTCTTGACAGTGTCAAAGTCATCACTGTTAGATACTACAATGAATGTAAGGATAAGTCCTTTTAGCTTTGTTAGTGCTCTCCAAGAGGATCTGAAAGAGCTAGTAATCCGTGATACTTCCTTGAAAGTTTTCCTTGACAATCAAATTCCGTGGCTTCAACAAGGACTTCTTTATCTTTCTAGATATCTCCGGGACATAGAATTAGAATTCACTCCACTCGAAGAATTCAACTCTCTTCAATCAAATATTGTGGCTCTGGCCATTGAAGCAGCAATTGCCATCTACTCCTCCTATGATGAGGAAATGGACGAAACTACTGAAATGAAGCATNAGTCTGAGTCTGCTATATGTTTATCTTATGAGGATGTTGTGGATAGCAACAAAATAAGGAAGGTCAATCTTGTTCTTCAGTTTTTGACAATTGCTTTCAAGCTTATCGAGTCTCAGAGAATCTTGATGGATCTACTAAAGCACAAAGCCACTTTGGAAACTAAAATTCTGGATCTGATTGAAAGTGCTCATGAGGATCTTATTTTCCTTAGAGCTTTCCTCATGGATCTTCTCATCCGACACACAGAGCTTAACAAAGTGCATGATCTCTTAAGGCATGCTGAAGGGACTGCCAACAAGTTAGTACAAGTCAGTGGTTTTTGTTATGAAGGTTTCATGGATGGAGGTAGCACTGAAAAAATGATGCTTTCATTATCCGATTTGCCACAAGAGATTGAGTCTGTCAAGGTAGAGGTCAGAAAAGTATGGTTTCAACTTCTGGATGCATCACCATGGAACGTGACAGATGGGGAAGACATTATTTTCTTATTAAACCACCAGGACAGGGTGCTGAACTCTGATGATTATTCAATCTCTTATCTGAAGAATCAGGTCCCAGTAGTCAAAGAAAAACTGGTGTACTTGGGCTCTTTCCTTGCAGATATTATACAGCATCGCGATATGCATCAAGAACTCCAAGACCTCATGAAGCGTGCTCAAGATATTACGTTTGTCTGTTTCTTCCATGTCAGGGGTTATACTCCTGCTTGGCATGACATGTTACATCTCTCTGATGTCAAGCAATTGCTTAGGTTTGTTGAAGCAGAGGTCAAAATGTTTTGTTTCAAAGTTCCAGATTCTTCATGTTATAGCTTCCCCAAGACAAATGGATTAGGATTTCTCGATTGTTTCTTGGGAAAATTGGGGGAGCTGTTAAGTTCTAAGCTCGATTTGATTATCGACTTAAAACATCAGATTCAATCACTCCAGGACGGCTTGTTGTGTCTAAGATCGTTGACCGATCAATTTGCAGAAAGCTACGATGAGCATGATGAAGTTTATGGTCGTATAACAAGTAGCACAGAAATTGCATACAAGGCAGAGTATGTCATTGATTCGTGCTTGGCCTGTTCTTATCCACTCTGGTACAAAGTTCATTGGATTTCTGAAGTTGTTAAGAATATTAATCTTGTAAATGCAGTTGTTAGTGAGCCATGTGAAAGAAAGAATAATGATGTGGCAGTGACCGAAGCTGCAAAGACCTCCGGTAATCTTTTACCATCATTATCAGCCAATACTCCAAGAACAAATGAAGCAATGGAGGGATTTCAGGATGCGATGGACGAATTAAAGAAGCAGCTACTTGAAGGATCACCTGAGCTAGATGTTATCTCAATCTTTGGCATGCCCGGATTGGGTAAGACTACACTTGCAAAGAAGATTTACAGTGATCCAATAGTCACCTCTTACTTTGATGTCCGTGCTCAGTGCTGTGTGACTCAAGTATATTCATGGCGAGAATTGTTGCTTACCATTTTGAATGATGTGCTTGAGCCTGCTGATCGCAATTTAAAAGAAGATGGCGAATTAGCTGATGAGCTGCGTCGATTCTTGTTGACCAAGAGATTCTTAATTCTTGTTGATGACGTGTGGGACACTAAAGTGTGGGACTATTTACATATGTGCTGTAGAGGTTCTCGCAAAGGGAGTAGAATTATTCTAACGACACGGCTGAGTGACGTTGCCAGTTATGCTCAATGTGATAGTAAACCTCATCATCTTCGTTTATTCAGTGATGAAGAGAGTTGGACATTATTACAGAAAGAGGTGTTTCAAGGAGAGAGCTGTCCACCTGAACTTCTTGATGTGGGGTTTCGAATAGCAAAAACTTGTGGAGGGTTGCCTCTCTTCATTGTGTTAGTTGCTGGTGTTCTGAAAGAGAAAAAGAAGAAAGCAGAATTGTGGAAAGAAATAGAAGAAAGTCTAGGTTCGCAGAACATTGGTTGCTTGGAAGAGAGCATGTCTATGATTGGATTCAGTTACAAGAATTTATCACACCAGCTGAAGCCTTGTTTTCTCTATTTTGGAGGATTTTTGAAGGGCAGGAATATTCATGTCTCAAAATTGACTCGGTTGTGGCTTGCTGAGGGTTTTGTACAAGCAAATAAGGGACCAGAAGATGCTGCACAAGGTTTCTTGGAAGATCTTATTAGTAGAAATTTAGTGATGGATGTGGAGAAGAAACCCAATGGCAAGGTGAAAACATGCCGCATTCATGATCTGTTGCACAAATTCTGCTTAGAAAAGGCCAAACAAGAGAATTTCCTTCTCCGGATAAATGGGTACAAATAACTGCACTAATTTTATTATACTAGTTTCTGGGTACGCGCAATGACGTGTCCCTTGTCTCAAATATTATGTTTATCCCTACTCATTTTCATCTTTTTTCTTTAATCAGATTCTGTGTAGAGGACACATTTCCTGAAAAGCCCAAGGAATATAGACTGTTTATTCATTCTTCCGAGGATCATATTGATCAGTGGCAGCCATCTCGTTCAAATGTTCGCTCCTTAGTACTCAATGTGATTGATCCGGATAACTTGTTATGGCCGCATAATATATCCTTCATCTTTGACAATTTCAAACTCGTTAAAGTGTTGGATTTGGAATCTTTCAACATTGGCGGTACTTTTCCGAGTGAAATACAATCACTAATTCATTTGAGGTACTTTGCTGCTCGTACTGGTGCAAGTTCAATTCCTTCATCTATAGCTAAGCTATGGAATCTTGAAACTTTTGTGGTTAGAGGATTGGGAGGAGAGGTGAAATTACCTAGTTCACTTCTGAAGCTGGTGAAATTAAGGCATATACATGTAAAAAATTGTGCTTCATTTAGTTTGCATGACAACATGGGTGAATCACTTGCTGACTGTCAATTAGATAATCTGGAAACTTTTTCCACTCCACATCTATCTTATGGTGAAGATACAGAGATGATATTGAGAAAGGTGCCAAAATTAAGAAAGCTGAGTTGCATATTTTCGGAAACATTTGGTTATTCAAAGATAGTGATGGGAAGGTGTGTTCTTTTTCCCAGATTGGAGTCCCTAAGTCACCTTGAATCCCTCAAGCTTATTTCCAACAGCTATCCAGCTAAACTTCCACATGTCTTCAGTTTCCCCTCAAGACTAAGGGAATTGACTTTATCAAAATTTCGTCTACCTTGGGGCCAAATTTCAACGATCGGAGAGCTGCCTAATTTGGAGATTCTAAAGTTACATCTCAGAGCCTTTGAGGGGAATCATTGGGAAGTGAAAGATTCAGAGTTCCCTGAACTCAAATACTTAGAATTGGACGACATCAATATTGCACAGTGGTCTGTATCTGATGATGCTTTTCCTAAGCTTAAATGTTTGGTTTTAATCAAATGTAAGCGGCTTGAGAAAATCCCTTCTCATTTTGATGATTCTGTATCTCTTAGAAGCATTGAAGTAAACTGGTGCAACTGGTTTGTTGCCAATTCAGCCCAGGAAATTCAGACAACGCAACATGAAGAAATGGCAAATGGTGCGTTCACAGTTAGAATACAGCCTCCAGATTGGGCTACAAGATCATCTCCTTTGACTCTTATCTGGTATGTTTTTGTCATGTTCATCTAAGTACATTTCCACTCATTCGTTCTTTTTTTACAGAACATGCTTATTTGTTACTACTATTATACTTATTCCAGTTACCTTCTCTTATTGAAAAGAAAGAAGAACAGGTCATCTGCTATATTCTTGAATCTGAGTGCTAGACTTGCTCAAACTTTGATGAGTACTGCACTAAGTCTGCAGAGTGTTTGAAGGAAGGAAAGATCTTTTGTATGTTGTGAAGTTATCTGGTAAAGAAGGAAACTCGCTTATAAGAGAATTGAAACGGTCAGTTCCCTATCCATTTTTTGTCTCTTTCACTTTTGTGAACAGAAGATGGAGGACCTCAGCTAGGGAGATATTATGTTGAAGGATTTTCAGCAAGAAGTGAAGTGTTTTTTTTTTTGGTTTCCCACCGGTGTGCGGTACCCGCTATATCCGGATCCGTGCCGCTTAGGGCTCCATTCGGGGAGAAGCGCTCCTTACCAAAGATTTTTCCATACCCAGGGCTCGAACCCGAGATCCCTGGGGAAGAGTAGCCGCATCAGCTGCACCACATCCTTTGGTGGTAAGAAGTGAAGTGTTTGAATGAACGTCAACAATGATTTGTGGTGAAACTTGTAATAAGCGTCATCAACTTGGAAATTTGAAATGACATTAATAGCTACCAAATAACCTGCAGTTTACAATTTCAATGTTTTTGATTTTCGAATCAAGGTTACTTATCTTGAAGAAAGGACGTTATTTGTTGAAATCTTGATATTTTGATTCATAGATTGGCATTTTTGCTAAAATAAAGTAACATAAGAAAGAATAACTCCAGATTTTGAAAATGTTTTTTTTTAAAGTAAAAATGATATTTGAAAATTAGAGTTGTGTTTGGACATGAATACAATTTGAAACTGTTTTTAAATTTTTGCGAGTGATTTTAAGTGAAAATTCTGAAAAACAGTGTAGATTTTCAAATTTCCGAATTTTTTTGAAATTTAACTTAAGTGAAACTTGAATTTCTTTTTGGAAAAAGTAAAAAAAAAATTGGAAAAAATGAAAAATTTCTTTTGGTCAAACGGGCCCTTAATAATTTGGGAGTTGTCAAAAACAACTAAACTAAGAAAATAACTAAATTATTTGTTGCTCAATTCCATCATATTAATATCCACTGTAAACTCTGGGGATTATAAAAATTCAATGCAATATTAATTAATTTACTAGTTGCGATTAAAGAGGACGAATTTGGGTGATAAAATAGGACATACAATATTAAACATGTATTTCTATTGAGACAAGTGAAATAATAATTATCACAAGAATGGAACATTGTTCTTTCCAAATTGTAAGTCCATCATTAAAAGACTTTAATCTAATTCATTGATAATAAATAAATTATGCTATTATATAAGTCTTCTAAAAAATAACTACAACATATAGTTAACTCAACTTTCTATTATAGATGAGGCTACTAACCTGAAAACTAAGGCAAATCATCCACTATAATAGATTTAAAAAATTGATGCTGCAAAATTGTTAATACTGTCAAAATATATAAGTTAATTCATTATAAAAAATCATATGTTCCCATGGATTAGGCCCATTTAGTAGTCTCGCCCGCCTAGGGGCACGCGCCCAAATAATCATTGGGATGTTACTTGTTTTGCCCTGAAATTTTAAATTAAAAAATCTTAATTTAAAAATAATTCAAGACTTTTTTATGCCGAAAAGTTAAACTGAAAAACAAAAATTCTAAACACATTTACTAATTTCTAAATAACAGTTTTTTTAAAGTGTCTACCGTATCATTTCTATCCGGCGACCAGCCGTGTTCTGTTACGGAGTCCATTTTCATTTTTTCCAGGTTGTCCAATCCTAATAGGGAAATATAGTACAATCAAACTATTGTACTAGGAAATATCTTAAACGAGCATACACTAAGACCCCGTTTGGACATAAAAAAGATATTTCACTTTTCTTCAAAACAATTTCGCTTTTTACAAAATCAGTTCAAATTTTCATTTGAAGAAAGATTTTGAAATTTTTTGAAAATTTAAAAAATTCTAAAAAATTATTTTTTAAAATTTTCGTTCAGATTACTTACAAAACTTCAAAAACAACCCAAAATTATATTTATGTCCAAATACAACTCTAATTTTCAAATATCATTTTCACTTCAAATTTTTTTCACTTTTTTCTGAAATTTTACAATTCTTACGCCCACTAAGAGCCCGTTTGGACATAGGATTTTTTTCACATTTTTTCGAATTTTTTTTACTTTTTCCGAAATTAGTATTTGATCATAAAATTTTTAATTTTTTCACTTTAGATGAATTTTGAAATTTTTCGAAAATTTGAAAAATTCCAAAAAGTTATTTTTCAAAATTTTCACTTACATACTCACAAAACTTTAAAATAATATAAAATTATATTCATGTCCAAACGCAACTCTAATTTTCAAATATTCTTCCCTTAAAAAAAAAAAAATTCACACTTTATTAATTTTTTTTTTTGGAATTTTACAATTCTCATGTCCAAACGCCCACCAAAAGACAAAATGTCATAAAATTTTCCAATCTTTAAATAATTCTACAATTACTGGTTGGCACTTGGCTGCTCCCATTTTAGTGACCATTCTGCTCTTCTTTGCTTTCTTAGTCAATTTGTTGGTGCAGCCATGGCAGATGTAGCAGTGAAATTCCTAGTAGAAAACTTGATGCAATTATTAATCGACAACGCTGACTTAATTGTTGGAATAAAAGGTGAAGTTGAAAATTTACTACAAGATCTGAATGACTTCAATGCTTTCCTCAAACAAGCAGCTAAATCGAGGAGAGACAATGAAGTCTTGAAATCACTAGTAAAGAAGATAAGGAAAGTGGTAAATGATGCTGAAGATTCAATTGATAAGTTTGTGATTGAAGCTAAAAGACATGACGATAAGAACAAATTTGCTCAGTGGTTTCATCTTACTCATGTTGCTAGAGCTAAAGGGGTTGCTGATGAGATTAAAACTATTAGGGAAAGGGTGAAGGAAATTCGCCTAAATGATTCTTATGGACTTCAAGCTATTACTTCTGATGATAATTCCAACCAAGGTGGTCAGGAAAGGAAGGTACGAAAGTGGATTTTGTGGTCTTTATTTCGAAATTATATCACAATTCATTTGATTTATTGGGTTCAAAATCAATTATTTGTACTTATTTAGAAGGGGAGCCTAGGTGTAACCGGTAAAGTAAAGTTAGTGCTGCTGATATGCAGGGTAAGAATGCTTGCAATAGATACTTGTGGTTCGGTACTTCCCGGACCCCGCATATAATGGGAGTTTAGTGCACCGGGCTGCTATTTTATTTAGTAAACTTATTAAGACATACGGAGTCTGAGCCAAAGTTATTGGGCCGGGTGAACTTATAAGTTGATCTATCCATACGACCTTGCTAGTTGTTTTCGTACCTTTTTTATGCTGTAGAAAATATAAAGAACGTCTAGTCTAGTGCTTTTCATTTTTATTTTATAATAATGTTGAGTGGATATGAGCTTGAATAGTCCGACATAGATAGTGATGATTCATATAGCGGATTAAACTTGCTTAGGATTGTGGTGTTGTTGTTTTTCTACATTTTATTGTTAATTGCTAAAAAGTAAAGCAGTGTCTTGAAATGGCAAAAATTTCAGAAAATTTATGTCAAGATTTTTTAAAATAAAAAACCATCAAGAAGTGGTTGAATTTTATTTATGACAAATGACAAGCAGATAAGCATTGGATAAAAAGGGGATACCTTCAAATATCTATGATATGAATTTCTGTGTATAAGATGTGCTCCATGTTTACAATTCGCAAAGATTATGTCATACTGGCTTCTGTGTTCTTCGTTTGAGTTATGTTCAAAACACGACTGGCAGTCAAGGTTGAGATCGTTGTGAATGTCATAGACTTCTTGTTGCATCATCTGCTCTTAAATACTTTCGTAAAATCTACTTACATTAGCACGTTTGTTTCAATATCATGTTTTATCATCTTTTATTAAAAGTCAATTCTAATATCATTTCTGTGACCTTTTTCCTTCTTTAAAAATAGGTCCCTGTAGTAGAGGAAGACGACGTGGTAGGTTTTGATGAGGAAGCGAAAACTGTAATTGATCGTCTCATTGGAGGATCGGATTATGTTGTGCCAGTCGTTGGTATGCCTGGTCTTGGAAAAACAACTTTGGCATATAAGATTTACAAGGATCCTAAGGTTGAGTATGAGTTTTTCAACCGCATATGGGTATATGTCTCTCAATCGTTCAACAGAAGGGAAATATTTCTCAACATCATCAGCAAATTCACTCGAAACACCAAACAATACCATGATACACCAGAGGAGGAATTAGCAAATGAAATAAAGGAGCTTCTTGGGAAGGGTGGGAAATATCTTATTGTTTTAGATGATGTGTGGACAAGAGAAGCTTGGGATCGGATCAAAATTGCTTTCCCCAATAATGATAAACAGAATAGAGTCTTGATGACTACTAGACAAAGCAATGTGGCTAAGTGCTGCAATGATAAACCTCATGATTTAAAGTTTTTGACTGAAAATGAAAGTTGGGAGCTACTTGAGAAGAGAGTTTTTTACAAGGAAAAATGTCCACCTGAGTTAGAATTACCTGGAAAAAGTATGGCCGAAAAATGTAGGGGCTTACCACTTGCAATAGTTGTTATTGCCGGAGCTTTGATAGGCAAAGGAAAGACGACAAGGGAGTGGAAGCTGGTGGCTGACAGTGTGGGTGAGCACCTCATAAATAGAGATCCAGAGAACTGCAAGAAATTGGTGCAGATGAGTTATGATCGTTTGCCTTATGATTTAAAGGCGTGCTTCTTATATTGTGGGGCTTTTCCTGGCGGTTCTGAAATTTCAGCTCGGAAGTTGATTTGTTTATGGATCGCGGAAGGATTCATACAATACCAAGGACCATTGACTCTAGAGGATATAGCAGAGGACCACTTGAATGATCTTGTCAATAGGAACTTAGTGATGGTAATGCAAAGGAGTTCTAGCGGTCAAATCAAAACATGTCGTGTTCATGACATGTTGCATGAGTTCTGCAGACATGAGGCTATGATGGAGGAAAATCTTTTCCAAGAAATCAAACGAGGGCAAGAACATTCTTTTCCAGAGAAACAAGAGTTAGCCACTTATCGTCGCTTGTGCATTCATTCGTCTGTTTCTGAATTCTTGTCAACAAAACCCTTTGGTGAGCATGTTAGGTCATTCTTATGCTTTGCCTCGAAAAAATTTGAGATGCCTTTAGGTGAAATACCAGCCATCCCCAGAGCCTTTCCCTTGCTTAGGGTACTAGATGCTGAATCAATCAAGTTCAGTCGTTTTTCTAAAGAGTTCTTCAAATTATTCCATTTGAGGTACATTGCTTTCTCAACTGACACGATTATGACCATTCCTACAAACATTGGAAATCTTTGGAATGTACAAACACTTATAATTGAGACACAACAGGGTACTCTTGACATTAAAGCAGACATTTGGAATATGACAAGATTAAGGCATGTGTGCACAAACGCCTCTGCTACATTGCCTTCCCCTAAGCGCCCCAAGAGCAGCAAGGACAACTTGGTGAATCGTTGCCTACAAACACTTTCTACTATAGCACCTGAATGTTGCACGGCAGAAGTTTTTACTAGAACTCCTAATCTCAAGAAATTAGGTGTTCGTGGAAAAATAGATGCACTTCTAGAGACC